CCCTTGGCGGGAGCGCCGCCGCGCTCCCAAGCGGCACACTGTAGCAGTGCACCACTGGGCCGGCCCCTATTGAATGTTTTATAGTCTTATCCTTTCTTTTTTTTTTTTTTTTTTTTTTTTGTCTTTTTGTGAGATCAGCCGCACTGCGCTCAGCCAGTGTACGCACCGGCCATCCCTATATAGGATCTGAACCCACGGCGGGAGCGCTGCTGCGCTCTCCCGAGTGTGCCATGGGCTCGGCCCTATAATCTTATCCTTTCACTCAGCAATTTATCATAAACATCTTCCTATGTCATTACATGTTCTACATTATTTGAAATGGCTACGTCATATTCCAATATGATTATGCCATAACTTAGCCTATTCCCTATTGCTGAGTACTTATTTTTGATTTATTGATCATTCATTCATTGCCATTTCAGAGAACAATTTGGAGACCATCCTAGTAGCTATAGCTTTGCATGCATGCATGATAATTTCCTTAGGGTAAATTTTCAAAAGTGAAATTGCTGAGTCAAACAGCATGTAGAATTTTAAGAAGTTTTATATATATTGACAGATTGCCTTCCCAAAAGATGTACAGATTTATTCTCTGACTTTCAGTGTTTATTCTCATGCCTGCCAATGTTGACTATTATCTTTCTAAAAATCTTTACCAATTTTATTAGGTAAATAATGACACCTCTGCTCTAATTAGAACTCCTTTTATTATTACTGAGATTGAACATGTTTTATGTCTGTGATTATTTACATTTTAAAATTGTATTCATGTCTATTTCTGTGTTACTGGTTTTTTTTCTTATTGGTTTATGAGTTCTTTATATATTAAGACTTAACCCTTTGTCACATGTTGTAAATACTTGTTTCCAGTTCATTTGCCTTTTATTTTTATTTGTGCGATTATTTAATATGTGGAAGATTTAAATTATTATGGAGCCAAATCTTAACCAGTTTTTTTCCTTTATGGTCTTTCCCTCTCTCCTCATGAGTCTTTAGTTTACCTTCCCTCCCAAGCTTATGTAAATATTTGTTTATATTTTCTTCTAGACTTCTAAGTTTTCCTATTTTACCTTAAAATATTGAATCTATCTTAAATTTGTGTGGTGTGAGATAAAAATTACTTTCATTTTTAAATAGCCAGTTCTAACACCATTAACTAAATAAGTGCTGATTCCGAAATCATCATTGTTATATATCTAATTTTTATAGGTCCTGGGTGTGTTTCTGAACCTTTTCTGTATTGTTTCTTAGTCTAGAATTCTTCTTCTGGGACAGTTTTCAAAAAATTGCATTTTAAAAATTATTAGAGCTTTTTAATATGAGCTTATATCTATTCACTAATTTATTTGAAATTTATTGAACGCTTACTGTGTGCTATGCACTATACTCAAAACTAGCAGTACCATAGGGAGAAAAAAGTTCTTGCTCTCAGTAGTCCTGAGATCTAGGGGCCAGGTAGTCACACACAGAAATGTGAATTTATTTATTATAAGTGCTGTAAAGGAGAGGTGTGTGGTGATTTTTAGAGTGTATTATTAAGGGGTACTTTGAGCTAGAGAGGAAGGTCAGGGAAGGCTTCCTGAGGAAGTAGTTACTGAGCCAAGAACTGAGAGAAGGATGGGAATCAGTTAGGTGAAAGGCTCAGAGGAAACAATCCGCACCAACAGCCAAGTGGTGGGGGTGAGTGTAGTTTTTTTTCAAGAAGCTAAAAGGGATCCACTGTGACTAGAGTGCAGAGAATGGGGAAGAGCAGTATATGAAATGAGGCTGGAGAGGGAAGATACAGCCAAACTGTGCAGGGCCTTGTAGGTAATATTAAAGTTCAGTGTCTTTTCTTTTTAAGCAGAAAGTTTACAGGGCCATATTTCTGTTTAGAAAAGTTTACTCTTCAGAGTGGTATATAGTCTGAATGGAGGCCAGAATCATGCGAGAGTACACCTCTTAGGAGCTACCTACTGCAGAAGTATTAGTGAGAGAGAGAATATCTTAGCCTAGAGTGGTGGCAGTGGGGATGGAGATAAGTAGGCGGATCTGCAGGACTAAGTGATGGATTGGAAGTGGGGGCAAAGAGAAAGGGAGATGGGGGGAAGAAAAAAGAAAGAGAGATGTCACAGATGACTCTAGAAAGGTTTGGGTAACAGGTGAATGAATACGACTAAGATAAAACACTGAGAAAGGACTGAGTTTAGGTGTGTTTTGCTTTGGAGCAGGGAGCATTGGAGGACCAGATGGAGAAAACCATGAGTTCAATTTTGAACCTTTTCAGTTGGAGATGCCTTTGAGACATCCTGATTAGGCACCTGAGCAGATAGGCTCAGGAGATAAGTTTGGACTAGAGAAGAAAAATGTGAGTCATCTGCATATTGGTGGTTATTGAAGCCACACAGGCAGGACTGACATTGCTTGGGTAGAATGTATTAAGTAGGAAGAGAAGAGTGCTAACACCTATCCTGGAGGAAAGATAACATTTGATTTTGGGTAGAAGAGAATGAGCCTGCAGAGGACATGGAGAAACAAGAACAGAGAAGTGGGGCAGAGTGGAGGGGTGGGTATGAGAAGCCTAGAGAAGAGTTTCAGAAAGGAAGGCTTAGATAAAGCAGTATTGAACACCTGTTGAGAGGTCAAGTATGCTGAAGTCCTAAAAAATACCCTTTCAATTGGGATCACGAAGTGACTTTAGCATGAGCTGTTTTGGTAGATGATAGGAGTAGAAGACATTGTAATGAGCTGGAGGTGAGGCAGTGGAGATACTGAATTAGAGAAGTGTGACTTTGGAAAGAGAGGAGGGTTAGCTGGAGGGAAATGTGAGATAACAGATTTATTTGTTTTAAAGGAGAAGAGTCTTCTAACATGTTTAGAAGATGGTGGTGGGGATTGTCCTGAGAGTAAGAGATTATTAAATAAATGTACAAGAGAAAGTAGGAATAATCAGTAGTGAATTGCATAGTTGAAGGAATTCATTGTAGCTAGGAGTGACAGCTTCTTTAATGGGAGAATAAAAGGATTGGATGAGTGTTTATGTTTGGTACTGGAGAGGTGAGTAAGTTCTGATTTGATGACTTAACGTCTGTGAGATAGGAAGCGTGAGATAAGTCAGCTGAGAATGAGGAAAGAAATAAGGGCTTTGAGGAAAGTGGAAAGGTTGGAAAAGTTATTACAGAGAGTGAGACATGTTCCCCTGCATTACTCTTTTTTTCACATTTATTCTTCCAGATAAACTGTAGAATTTCTTTATATTGTTTCCTCTCCCGTTTTCCTCAACCCACCTCCACATCTTTCTAAGAATTTGGATGAGATTTCTTTAAAGTTATAGGTTAAGTTAGGGAGAATTAATTTATTTACAATATTCAATATACCCATTCCAGGAACTACATTTTTCTCTGTTTACTCAAATCCTCTTTTGTGTTCCTCAGTAATTTAATAGGTTTCATCTTATAAATCCTGCATATTTTTGTTAATTCCTGCATTGGTTATTATTTTTATTACTATTATAAATAAGTGGATACTTCAAAAAGTTTGTGGAAAAATAGAATTAAAAGATGACATGGTCATTTGTGGCATCATGGATGGACTTGGAAGTCATTATGTTAAGTGAAGTAAGCCGGGCACAGAAAGATAGATACCACAAGATCTCATTCATATGTGAAATCTTAAAAAAAAAAAAAGGTAATATGAATCTTTCCATGAACTTTTTGAAGTACCTTGTAGCTCTTTTTTCTATTATATTTTCTAAACAATTTATTTATTGTTGATTTCTTTAAAAGCTAGTTATTTTTTAATGTTTACTTCATACCTAATTCATTTATTGATTCCTATAGCTTTTTAGTTGATTTCTTGATATTTCTAGGTAGGCAGTTTTGAGTTTGAGATCTCTCATACAAATCATGATAATCCTAACACTTATGCCATTATTTCTTGTGTTTGTTCTATTGCTACAACTTTGCAAACAGTGTTAAATAACTCAGGTGCTAATGTACATACGGACTTGTTCCTTATGTTAATGAGAATACTGCTGTTATAGCATTAAGTGTTATAATGGCTATTAATTTTTGATAGAATTTAATTATATCAATGATGTATTTCTTTCTCTTTTTTTTGTATGATGAATTCTACACATGTTCTAGGGTAATTTTGATAATCACATGAGGTTACCATTGCCAAAATCTTTTGAAATTTAAAAATTCTTTTGAGAGCTATACAAATAAAGGATTCTTTTATAACTATTATTCCTTCACACAGTGGTTGGGCTGGAGGGAACTGTTATTTGCATTTCCCAGAAAATTTTTTACATCGTATTACCTTTACCAGCTCGCTCGCTCTTTTTTTTTTTTTTTTTTTTTTTTTTTTTTATTGAATCAAAATTGATTATACATATTT